GTCGCTGGTTTTTTTCGACAGCTGACCTCGTGCCCTTCACGGACAACGCATGGCCGATTTCTCGTTACGCCCATTGGCCGTCTAAACCATGCAGCAGTGGCCTTGATAACACGCTTTCTCTGAAATAACTCATTACGAACAGATAGTTTATTGCTTCTCCAAACAAAATTTACTTTTGTAAGTGAATGCATTGAAACAGACTTCAAGGGCACAGCTACTGCTAATCCGACGACAAGAAAACTGTGTTTTAAAGCATTTGATTTTAGAAATTTCAAGTTAATTTTGCTTCCGTGCAAAGAACCCTAATTGAGGTACCTTTTTCTGTATTTTTAGGGATCAGAGATCATATCTCAACCAAGTGTTCAGTTGTTTTCCTACTAGATCACGCGATTTACTTCACTAGATTATTTCATGCACAGTGCATGTGAACGAGGCTTTCCAAAAGTTTCTAGTGCTATAACCAAGCAAGTGGGTTCAAATAGTAAAATGTTACCGCATTAAGGTCAGTAAAATGAAGCAGTTTCTGTTGATGTACTATAGTTTGCACTCATGTTATGTTTATTGCCACCATTTACACTGAAACTAGAAGAGGAGCAGGCCTCTTTTGGGCATATTTTCTCCAGTACACTAAATTTTCCTGGTTAGTCTCATGTGTACTTTAACTGGGATGTGAGAAAACGCAGTTGCATAACAGTAGCAAACAACACTTGATTTAACAGAAGATTTAATGAGGTTTGTTGACATCTGACGCAACTTTACCCTTCAGTAGTGCAACCTCCCGAATGCGCCATCAGGCAAAACGTAGAAAAAGGCTTTCGTCGTGTTGGGCTTTGCAGGTCTAATGACTTGGCTTTAAACAGTGGGACTATTCGAATAGGGAATACATGAATCGCAGCAATACACCCGACAAGAGAATCATCAGACTTTTTCTTCAGATGGATTGGGGTGAGTCGAGGGAGCGTAAAAGTGCGACTAGGCCTGGTTTTTGACAAGGTTTAACGAAAGAATCTATTTTGTTACTGTAGGCGAGCTCTGTTTCCCGAGAACGCTTTAAAAACGATCGTGAGTCTAAAAAGTGCGCTCGGTGATGTACCGAGTTCATTTTCACAATAATGACTAACCACAAGAACTTTCATTTTATGTAGGGAGCAACACTGAGTAATCATAACACCGATGTGTATAAGGTAACTAAAGAGAATTACTATTAAAAGTTGAGTTCAACGTTTTTTCCCCAACTTTGGATTCAACGCATTTTACTGGAATTTTGTAGGAAAGAATGAAAGTGGAGGCAGAGACGGGACTTAACATGAATACTTCGGCATCCTGCCTACTGCTCAGAGCTCACAAGCTTGTCAAAGGTATGTTTAACTTTGCCATTGGATGTTTCCGAAGCCAATGGCCATTTCGAAAGACCTCAGTAGCCTGGTATCTGGGGCGAATTCCTTTTCAACAAGGTTGATGGTCCCCTTGTAAACATCAGGAATGGGCGAACCATTCTAACGAAGAACTAAGCTGAAACCATTTACACACAAATGACAGCACGTTGTCTGACAACCGTTTCAGTATGGTCAAATGAATGTAAAGAATTCAATCACGCTCACGCAGCATCTGGACCAGACTTTCTTTGAGAATTGTCAATCGAAAGTTTTTGCATCATCGGTTCCTGCAAATATAGCAAAATTGAACAATTAATGCCTTGGCTACGAGCTGCTACTCGATGAAATCATTTTTCCGATTTCCTTTGAAATCTTAGCAGAGTTGCCCATGAGCACTGTCCTTAAAGTAGGCAAAAATAATTCACGTTTAGTTGGGTCAAGGATACAATTTCGTTATTTATAGTAATCTCTTTCCTCGCCATTTTTTCTCCGTCTCTTTTGATGGTTCAGTTTTGATGATTGGAACATGCACTTCATCCAGGAGACTTTTACTACTAGTTTGTCCCTTGACAGGTGAATTGCTCCCTTGCTAAAGGAAAGCATCACTAAAACGTTGGCTTCTTCAATGACAATCGGTGGTTCTGCTGAATTCAGCGAAGTGGGTTTCGGCATCTTTCTAATAATACTGATCAAAATTACTATTAGGAAGAAGTAGAAGTCATACCTGCTGAAAAGTGTTCAGAGCGAAATGGTTGCTCTATGCGTTCCCCACAAATGCACAAATTTCCATAGGTACCTTACCAGATGCATAATTTGATGCTTCCGAAACTCACTCAGTACAGTAACTATCGGCGCAGGATACGAAGTCTTGGAGAAATTGGTGGCGTGTCAATTGAACTTGCCTTTCCCAATTTCACTCTTTCTGTCCTTTATTTTTGGAACGACGGATGTTTGCCCTTTTTACTAACAATCCTTTTAGGTTAACAGTAGGGGTTTCTCTAGGTTCTGAAATACGATTACTACGATGCGTTCCCAGTCATATATGTAAAGTATTAATGGGAACTATTTATCAAACATACTATGACTGACTCCTAACATTGAAGCCTAACAACGCACAATTTCACCCTCCGAAATTAGTTCTTTTGGTTCTGGATCCTAAAAGAGCCCACACGGCCTTTTCAGGCATTCGGTTTCTTGCGCTGCCTGGCGAGAATGCCCCATTTAAGGAATTCGGGGTGGATGAAGATGTCTGGCAAACAAGCAGCCCTGTGGATCAGGCGCAGTTCAACAGACATCGTAAGTTGCTCAGTGGAGGGGTTTGCTGAGGTGGAAAGAGACGCAAAGCAAGAAAATGTGATTTAGTGGGAACTTGGTGAGATTCCTGTTGTGAATCACTTAACTATTCATTCGCAATCTGTGTGGAAACCACATTTCGTTTTTATATTTTGACCATAATTTAATTGAAAAAGTTTATGTGCACTTTGAGAGATCACGTGTTTTTTACTCCTATTGCCAGCTGAGTTTGGAATACTCTAAGGACGTCAGTAATTTCGCTTTTCGTTTGCCGTTGGGCTCACTTCAGCCAGCCCAACACACAAGTTCGTCTCCTAGCAGCCGTCCACTAACATTCCAGCGAAGTTGAATTACATGGGTACCCACAACACCAAGCACACATCGAAGCGGTGATCATCGAGGACCTTGCATACCTGATGACGTTTAGGTTCACAGATATAAAACGCAATTCTACTGGAAAACTAGACTAATATAATTAAGCAGACACATGAAGTAATCGAGCAAATTTGTTAATAGAGAATGTTAAATCATGTCGTTGTTTTTGAACCTAATGGCCACTGTTGAAATCATAATAAACTCAGGTGTACTACGAATTCCTTCAAAACAATTGCCTGACCTTGCGTGTGTAGTCAAAGTGAGGCATTCCGACTTGAATTCTTTACATAAATGAAACCATTCACGAGGTTGCGCAGCCTGATTTAATACAAAAAAATGCAAAATCTGAACTTTGTTGTTTCTTGAGAAGGAAATATTGGCAACACGCATCAGTGTTATTTTCCTTCTCATGATTAGTTGGTTGCTTGCTTATGTAGCCTCGGTAGATGCAAGAATGTGACAGCGATGTCTGGAATGGGTTTGTGGTGAGCACAGTTATCAATCCTGAGCGAACGCAGTATGCGAGCCCAAGCAAGCACAGTTCATTCGACTATTCGTGAATGAACTCCACGCAACTAGCTGCGTTCAGAGGTCAATGCTTAGCAAAGCTGTATAAACGCATCTGCTATCCTGTACACAACAACACACACTCCGCTACTGCTTTAAAGAAATTGGTTGGGCTACTGGTTATCTGCAGTTCTGCTCGCCTTTCGGTCGGGCCGTGTCAACGTAGATTGTCGGCCCTGGTGTGGTTCCCAAAGGCCGCACCGGGGCCCACTTCAGGTTCATGATTCTGAAGCCTTTACGCGACACCCAGTGGAGTGTTGTTGTTTCAGTTCTCACCCGGTGGGGACCAATTAACTCAAAAGTCTCGACCATAGACAAGCTGAAGTTAAGCCAGTTCCGCAACATGTGAATAAACAAACCTCACTGTTGGACTCCGATATTCCAATTTTGTGTCTCTATGAAGCACGAATTACAGTCTGTTGAGTTATTGAGGCAGACGTTAGATGTTTTTTTAATTTTCTTAGATATCGCAGAAAGCTATAGCTGGAACCCTTCGACACTTATCAGGCGGGATTTTGACGCTGCAATTTGTATCTTAATTATTGACTTCAACACTGCGGATATAAAGCAATCCAAGTGACATAGGTAAAAGTTATGAACAAAGCCGAACTCTATTTGCTCTAATGCAACTGACCAAGTCAACCTTGCCAAATTGTCAAATTTTTGAATGCACGACCGTGCTTCCCTGTAATCAGCTTCCCTGTAAACTTAATTTGCAGCATAGCGGTCACTTTAGGTTGGAAATGCAATACTACAATGTTAAAACCTCCTCTACTGATAATTACACTCATAATTTTGTCCTAATACCTCTGGGTTGCACAAAATCTATCAAACATTGGAAGAATGTGAGTCGCATACCATTGCTGCGACTTGTAGGGTGCAATCGTAAAGTAACTCCGCAAATAAAGGTCATCACGCCGACTATCGCCTTCCCCGTCACACGAAACTACTTTTGCAGCGTCCCTATCGGGCCTGATAAACCGTCTGCTCATCCATTTCTGTGCGTGCTCCTGTCCTTAAGTCATCCCTTTTATTCTCCTGAGAGTTCAGCCATTTGTAATTTTGCAGGTTCACGGCATCGATCGACAACTCCCACCTAGTCTGACAAATTTTATGCGCTGTGGCGCGACTAACAACTTGGGTGAGTTATCCAGTAAAACGGTCGTGTCTGCTACCTCTGGTCGTCTACTCGCCGTCTCGGGTATCTAAGTTTGGTAATCGGGCCAAATTCGGCTCAGCGGATCGGGCACGGTACAAGACAGTAACCGATTAGGGGGCATAGCAGGTCCATCTTCTCATTTTAAACGTTGAAGCAACGCCTTGGGAATTGTTAAACAGATTCGTGACAAAAAAAAACACGATGTGTTTTCTTCATCATTTGTATGTACATCAGGAGGCGTTTGTATGTACAGAGGACACGTTTTTCTCTGGTTGTTTTGAAAGCGGTGTAAAGTGCAGTTTTAGCCTTGTTTTTGGGGATTCCTCACCACCACAGTCCTCCACCCGGTCTTCTTCGTCACTTTTTACTTCGCGCAGTGCCGCAACGAGGGAGCTTTCGCCCTCCTCCGTATCAGAGAGGTATTCAACACTGCGAGAGCCGTTTTTGTCGCACGCCTTCCAGTCATCCACCTCCGTTGGCCCCGATCTTTTCGCGTCAGTAGAGGCACCATCATCTGGGGCTTCGTTTGCGGGCGTTTGGCGTGTTGTTCGACGGCGTTTGGGGGCGGTTTTTTCTCTACGAGAACGCACCCGTTTACCTCTGCCACCGCCGCTCGAAGCTGCTGCAGCTGCCGCGGTAGCTAGAGGCGAAGGACCAATCACAGTGTCTGCAGACACGCCTGGGTGGTTCTCACGAATATGCACTTCGAGAACCCATCTGCGACGCTGCGGCATCACTTGTTCGCACAGAGGACAAATCTGAAGCCAATTACCACGTACTTATAGAAATTAAAGTAGCCATTTCGTTGAAGCACCACTAGACATCCTACGTCATTGACTCCAAATCACACAAAGGTTTGTAATTAACATGAACGGTCTAACTGAGTGCCAGAAGTCGCAACTTTGTCTCTGACTTTTTACGCTACAAGTGGAACCATTGAAACACCTCTGCTATGGCTTTCAATCTTAAGGACCAAACAACAAATTGTTTTTTTTTGAAAATTATGGACCTACCTTTTCGTAAATTGGTACATTTACTATCGAATTGCACTGTACTTATTGTGTATTGGTTCTTTCAACGCACGGACCTTGTTGTAAGCCACAGCTTGGAATGGCTTCGAGTAATGCGGTCAGAAGTTTGGTACTGAGCCCGAATTAGACCATTGGACACATACTGGCCGAGACACCCCAATTTTAACACAACCAGATAATTAACTGAGACCCACTGACAAGCATTAAAATAAGGTAATTGGAGGCGGAGCGGAACCACTACTAACCTGGCCTGGATTGGAAATGGGGACATTGAAAATCAATTTCAATCTTTCGATCGTTAAGGCTCACCTGAGGGTGCTCAGTTCTGAGGTGGACCTTGAGGCCCTTCTTGGAAGTGAAGGTGGCACCGCACGTCTCGCAGGCATGCTCAACCACCAATCCGTGTGTTGTCACTCGGTGCGAGCGCAGCGCTTGAATTGTGGGAAACCCAGCCGGGCACTCCGAACAGAGATGCTTCCGCCCCAGAGCCGCCACAGTTGCCATGGCATTCAAGGCTGTTACGTGAACTGCATTCGGATCCTCGTCAAGTCCGCCCTTTTCGCACCGGTCTATCGACCTTCCCACGGCCCCTGCTGCAGCCAGGACCTGTGACTTCGGCGCGTCAGTTCGCAGCCACATGTCGGGCGCTTCGTTCGCACCGTTTTTCACCCCATGGGTTCTCAAATGACGATTCAGAAGAGATTTCGACGCCAATGAGAAGCCACACAAACGGCAGACGAATGGCCTCTCGCCTGAATGCGACCGCATGTGTTCGTTGAGATGAACCTTTTGACGGTAGGCCTTGGGACAGAGCTCGCACTGAAACGGTCTTTCCCCGGTGTGCGTGCGGATGTGCTTCTCCCGAGCACTGGCTCGACTAAAGTTTTTCCCGCAGAGTTCACACTCAAACTTGCCGCTATTCTCGTGACGGTCCATGTGTTCACGCAGACTGCCTCGACGCATTGTCTTCTGACAAACACTGCACGAGATCATCTCTCTGTCGCGATCCCTCAGTGGTTGGGAGTTCACTTTCTCGGGCAGGAAAAAGAGAGGAGGAGGTGGATGAGGAGGAGGAGGAGGAGGTGGGGAAGTTGTGAGGATTGGAGAGGGGGAAATGTTGAGGCCCAACGGGGGAATGAGCTGATTTGTTTTGGCATCGATTGGCGGGAAGGGAAGAAAATTGCCAGTTTGAATGACCTTAGAGATGAGGGCGAACGCCTGCATTGGGTCAGGGATGGTGACTGGAGGAGCCGCGATGCTGGTGACGGCGGCGGCGGTGGTGCTGGTGGCTGTGATGGCGGTAGTGGCGGCCGCTGGGCTGATGACGAACTCAGTAGCCGGTGTTGCATCTTTTTGCTTCGGAGTACCTTTAACGCGTGGCATGCCTGTAAAATATGCAGCATGCATTGGATTTGGGTACATAGCCCTCATGTTTGGGAGCTTAAGGCATTCATTCACCTTAGCATGCTTTAGTAAACTTACGACCGATAAATAATTTTTGCCACGCTCATGTTTTCAGCGAAAGACCACAAACAGCACTTTAATAAGTTCACTATTTAGAATCATAAGTAATTCACTCAGCACACACCAAGTATGGGTTTGTCAAAGTACCCAAAATCACATAACTACGAAGCGCTGTGTTTGTGAAAGAAGCTAGGAATTCAAGAAGTGCTCGGACAGCATTAGCTTCTAACGAACGATTAACACTAACATTAACCTCGCATGTTCGCCTGCAACTCGAAAAAAGCAAGCACTGGAGATTAGATGAGCAGGTGAATCGTGTGATTAGGGCCTTCCTGACACGGCCGCACGTGTTAAACCAGTTAACTAACAACGACGAGCTAAACTCAGCCAGTAGTAGCGAATGCCTAACACGAATTCGATAGCGCGTTCTATCTGTTTGTTTTAATGACTTTTCAAAAGTACATGCTACCTAATTTATGGTTTTCCATCAAAGACAAGTAAACTTAAACGGAGGCAAGTAAAACCGGGGTTTCTGCAGATTCTTGGAGTTGATATGCTCTTTTGTGAATGTGATTGTTTACGCGATTTTTTCTTCTTAAAAAAAACATATTGGCTATCACTTTACAAATGATAGAAGGCACCTTCAAGATAGAACAACAAGGGGAAGGGGAAAAGCGACTAGGGACACGAGGGTGTTCACATGACGGAAGCGAAAACAGGCATTTACGTAGAAAGCGAAAGTACGAAAAATAAGTGACAAATCGAGATAAGGACAGTTCAACCCAAACAGTTAATCGCACCCGAAGATTGGTATAAGATAAAAACAACAGGGTTAGTGCACTTTTGGAAGGTCGTATTCCCATATGAATGTAGTCACATTTGGATTCTTTAAGAAATACACGAAGTAAAACGTTATCAAGTTGCTTTTGATTACATTCGATATGTGAGGCTTAATGCAATTGCATAATTTAGTGCAGTATGATTGAAAACATCAATCATGTCCGATCGGATTGCACCCAGCTCCCAATGAACGATACCCAGACGCGAACAGAAACATGCGGCATCGTTTTGAAAGCGATTTCGCCTAGAAAAGTCTGAAATTAATGGAAAAAGCAAAGGGGTTGAAAGCAATATTACTCACTATCGTAATCTCAAAAGCAAAAGAGAAAACGTCGTAAACTCACAGTGTGATCACGACACCAACTATCGGTTGCAAGTGCGAGCCCAAATGCTGCAGACTTAAACCAGGGCCTTCAGTGTCCGCCTATCAAAATGCGAAATGTGGGTAGAATGTGCGCACGCGTTGCCTAACGTTCCACGATCGAACCCTCGCTTTGCTTGCGTGTCTGCGCAAGCGCGCCTGTGCAGGATTTTATAGATAGACGGACATGCACGCCACGCTGACAGATCGTGAGACAGACAGGCGAGACTAGTGCGCGCGCGCGCGCATGTGCCTCCTGCTTTCGCACGTCGGCAGCCATGGTTTGAGAGCGCGTATCGATTGGACAAGGACGCTCTAGGGTAGAATCCCAACGTGCGTTTGTGTGGGGCTTCACATCTCGTTTATGTTTCTAAGGTTTTCTTCCCGAAACTCACACTTTCTGCTTTCCCAAGTTCTAATATATCTGCATAAATTTAAGGTTCACACTCGACTTTTCTGTCTTTCATGACGGGAATAGCAAAGAGGGGTCACGTAGTCTCGCTAAAGAGCCTATCCTAACCTTCTCAAAACAAAGTCGATGCGTGCAATACACACTCCCAAACGCGATTAACATATACCATCCAAGATGGAGGGATCATCAAAAGGCCATTAAGATGTGATTTCCTGTACAGGTTTATTTCCTTTAGCACACAAATAATCATCACCGTGTCATTAATTCACTGAGATCACTTCATACGGTAGTAAAACTCATCGCCCTTGGAAGAATTCACCTATTGGTAGGCACGCCATTTTGAAAAAAGGTGGTCTTGAAGTTACTATGAATGAACATTTAGCTATTCAAATGATTATTTTGACGATTTAAGTAGAAGAATAAAATTGCGGAATATGACCTGTTTGATTAGTTACAGTAAGAACGAATGATCCCGCTTTTTGGTCTATGTAACCCATTGTAACACAAATTTACGTGAAAAATAACAGATGAAATCTTCAATTCGTAAGCACCGACACCTTGCTGTCGCACTATTCGTTTCATTGTTGTAAGACACTAAAACATTACTAATAACTGCATACCTCACGTAGAAGGCGCAGGTAAAGTTCAAAATCTGAGGTCAAGGTAACAAATTAAGGTTTAAAAAATCCGAAAAATCAGTGATTAAATTAATGAAATCGAAAAACAACATAAATTACAATACATAAAATGAAAAATTCATATAAAATATGATGGTTGATACTCTAGAGGCCTTGGTTGCATAAATGATCGAATTCTTTGGTAAATGAAGTCGAATTGGCATTAGTTGCTAAATTATTTAAGGGAACTGATAAACCATAAGTTATACAAGATGAAGAATTAATTTTATTATCATTTATGGCGGGAAATACTAAACAAGTTAATATGACATATGAATACACAAAACTGGTTACAACGCAATACTTTCAAAATATGTAAAATGGTTTCTCACTAAAGAAAGAATTTATTGACAACTACAATGGGTATATTCAAGAAAAGGTATTAGCCAGATGCTGCTTCACACATGACCCTGTTAATTCAGATAGCGTTTCAGTAATAATTCGAGCTAAGATAACATGCTAAAATCGCGTGTGATATTAAAAAACAGATCAGTTTCGTGTCTCACATGTCACATTATTAATTAGTTGTGAGATTTTGTGGATAGTCAAGTTTTAGTTGGTTGTATTCAAACAATATTATTAGCATAACTAATATAAAAAAAGGATTAATCTGCCGCATAAAGTCGAAAGATAAAAATGATTTCGCCAAATGTTTGGGTCCAAAATATTTCCAATGCGCAAACTGGCAATATATTAAAACCTATGTAAAATAATTCAAACTAAATTAATCCACTTTTATTTCCAAAAAAGATGGTAGACTATTCGAGTCAACACACGGCGCCAATATTTTTGTCTATAAGAACAAATATATTTAAGAATGCAGTATAATGTAAATTTAACTTGTATTCAAGTTATGACCAACAAACAAACTTTGAAAAACTGACGCACTCAGTTTCGACTTCAAAAAAAGAAATTGTAAAAAAAACATGCAATTTTCAAGGCATTTAGAAGAGGATAAAGACCTATAATACATAAACTGCACGCTCTTTTGTTGTCATCATATGATACGACTGAGTTAGATAAACATCAATGTGGAATTAATTTAATCCAAAATCTAAAAATCGTGGATTTAAATATACAACAGGAATTTTTTTGCGTGCTTAAAGTAAAAATAACACTTAATGCTTTTTTTGTTAAAATTTGCGTACTTGATGTTATAGCCTCTGCTTACAGCAGCAAATAACTTACCGCTAAATGTTTGTCATAGCTTATTGTCATACCTTATTGTCATAGATTCATAGTTTTAAAATCAATAAATAATTATAAGTAGAAAATAATACGTCTAATAGCTTGATGTATATATACATATTTTTTTACTTACTGAACTCCATTCGTTATAATAGCCATGTAATAAGCAGCGGTTACTTCGGTTTGCGAAGGCCAGATTTCGGCTTCTGGTTGGTTCTTTGTGTGTTGCTTCTTTAAAAGATTGGTTTTCGAAATTATCCCACTGTCATCTTTTTATGTGTGAGCTCTATGAGGATTACTGGAATTTTTCATGAGTAGTAAATACTGGGGTGATGTATATGTTATTTTACAGCAAATAGGAATTACTATGAACACTTTTATAACTGAAGTAGGTTCTGTGCGTCAACTCCTCTAAAAAGTTTATAAAATAGAAATTTTTGCCTGCTAGTCGCCTGTAAATAATGGTTGTGGAGATAGCGTTACACCACCGCCTAGACCCAAATGCAATCATCTCTGAGCAATTTTCTACTCGTCAAAACTATCGAATTGTCTTATTTTGTTCCTGGCAGTAACCTTTGTATTTAAAAGTAATTACTTATGCCATTAAATTATGAAAGCGACCTTCTATCCGCTTTGGGGTGTTGGTTTTTGGGGGACTTGGAACTTTGGCGAAAAACAATCTATCAAATAATGTCCAGCAATTAAGAAGTTTCAAACATTTGTTTTTGCAACATTGTACATATTGCTGTTTATTTAAATATACTAGACAGTCATAGGTCATAGTATGGTTATCGGTTGAATCATTGCAAGCTGTCAAACTGTTAACGGTATTTCGTGTTGTAGTAAAATAATGTTTTCATATGTAACGATACCAACACCAGTGGAAGCAACGTACGAAACACGATCATGTAATCGTTCAATTAGGTCTTGTTCTCGTATCCTAAGGTCCGAGACTTGACGTACGACTATCAATTTCTGAAAATTATTTCGAAAACGTGGGGTTGACTGATTATTCGTGGGACCTGATGAGAGTTGATGAATGCTTCCTATTATGTTAATTTCCACAATTTGCCATCAAAATGGTTAATTTTGCAAGTTGGGCTGAGTATCTCCTTTCAAGCACTGGTCGTCAGGTAGACTGAGTGAAGTTACCGGGACACCTATATTTTAGTCCAATAATATGAAACGAGAACTTTTTACCCTTTCGTTTAAATTGAGATGGCTTAGAAGCCTGTGGCCTTTGTGACCTGCAGTTAAATGAAATATTAACTCTCGCAATAACTTAGACTTTTAGACCTACCAAGTATCCCATAATGGCCAATAAAATGCTCTTTGGCAAAACTCTGGACTCTTATGACTCCAACCTCGATGATATAAACGAACTTCTCTCCCAATTGACCGAGGCCGAAATAAAAGAGCTAAATGATGATATCGATCCGGACAATTCACTTCTACCAGCATCACAGCGATGTCGCGATCAGACCACCAAGGCACCGACGGGCCCCTTTGATCGAGAAAAGCTGATCAAGTAGGCTTTCATATCCCTGTACCCTCCTGATTGCTTAGTCACTCGTTGTAGGGAAACACTAAAAATATGTAGTAGTTCTGATTTTTTTATGTAACTGCCTTTAGCACAGCACTGTCGACCGGTTTCATATCTCGCATCTACTCTTAGTGAAGCATTATTTTTGTGGGCCACTGGAACCGCAGGCCGTTGATAAGCCACCTACAAAATTACGTGTTCGTAGAGGAAAAACTTCCAACGTAGTTCCTCTAGTGTGATATTATGGTTGGTTTTATGGACAGTCATGTCATTGTTCAATTCCAAAACAGAATCTATGTGGTTTTGATTTCACCCCGCCGTTCTTAACCACAATTAAGACTAATTTTGCTGGTCTGGCTTCTGCTCGTTCACTCTACGTTCCTTGGGGTCGGGTCGCAGCTGGTAGCCGCAGTAACTACCAGCTTTCAACCACTGACACCATTCGTTTTAGGTTCCTTGTCGAAAAAGCCAAGAATGACCCCGACTGGGATGAGGCTGTACCTTACGAGAAGAAAATTCGGGGAAAGGTATTCGAAAAGAAGAAGAACGAGCCAGAAATGATTGAAAAGAACGAACTCTCCGATTTGGGCTTTGATGTGGAGTTTGATGATAATATTAATGAGGTAACTTAATCTGCTCTGGTGACCTCTAATACTTTTTTTTCATTTTGCTGTGTGGAAACAATGTGCTCTGCTCGTAAACTTTGATTTTATTCTTCGGCACATTCAAAGTATTAAAACTACAAAACTGGTTTCTTTTCGATATACTAGCGCTAAAACTGTACTACTCAATGCATTTACATTAAATCCTCCATCATTTCACGTCGCCCTTGGAAAAGTACGCGATGAGGTTAGGTTGTGCGTTCTGGCGTCCGATTTGGACGAAATTCAGCCTTGGGACATGACATCAAATACGTAAACTGGTTCGTAACATGCACAAGATGTAAGAGATGGTTTAAAAGTCGTGCATTTTGAATTTATGCGGCTGCAATTTACATCATTTCTAGATGAAATTTGGTCTGATTTATTTGCGTACCTTTCCCCAAGATTTTGAACATATTTGTGGAAATTCGTACTGATCATCGTTTGTGCTACTAGACTACCACTAAGAGGGACAAATCTGAGACGGTGATCGTCATTCGGCCCACTTTTTGCTCTGCCGAGTAAACAGGCGTGTCCGAATTGCCATATTTTTTATGTGCCACTTCAGGCGCTAAACAACGCCACGGACGACGAGCTGATCGACTTGGCCGCTATTTTGGGCTTCACCGGCATGATGAATCAGGTGCAGTTCCACGCCAGTATTGAAAACAAAGGCCAAGTTGGAGGTGGTTTTCGTGGCGTCGCCAAGGGCGAACAATTAAAGACGTTGCCGGATGAACCCCCGAACATGACTGACGTTGAAGTGAGTTTGTCCGTTTTTTAAAGTTCTGCTTCAATTGCCCTATCGAGTCTATCGGTAATGTCAGTGTTAGAGTGATTAAATTAACCCATCAGTCAAGGCCAAATTCATCAACAGTATCGTATTCCCTTGGCTTTGTACAGTCACTTTATGACGATGTGGTCTACCCGTCCCTTTGGCAATTCGTTAATCCATAAAGTGCCCCGATACTCGAAATTGTTAAACACTTAACTGCGTGTCTTTTCATAGGCTAAAATGTGCGCTGTTTGGCTTAGCAGTTTTCACTTACCGGTTGTTCGGTTAATTGAATATGCACAGAATGTAGCGTCGAACACAAAACGCGCACGCCTGCGACCTCGTGTAACCCTTTGATCGGTTAGCATTTTGCACACACACGTGCTCCGCGTGGTAGCCTTAATCTGTAAGTGGTCTCACGTACTAGGAAAGCATCCAGAAGCTCTCATCTGACGATCCCACTCTGACGGTACTCAATCTAAACAACATCAAGACGATGAGCGCAGAAGTCGTTTCTCGCCTCTGCGCGGCCTTGGGCGACAACAGTAAGCTGAAGGAGCTTCATATGGCCGCAACCAACCTCACCTCGTCAATGGTTGAGCCCTTCCTTCCGGCCCTCAAGGCAAACCACACCTTGGAGGTACTTAACCTCGAGTCCAACTTCATTACTGGCAAGTACCTTTGTCAACCCATATCTCTCTCTATTTGAGCCGGCCTTTCTCTCGATGCGCATGGCTTACTCAGCTTATCCGTAGGATTCTAAAGGCTCAGTCGCGTCCCGCGTAGCTACTGTTATGCAAATACAATCAGGTTTAGCCTCACCAGTCCAACTCTGCAACCATGGACTCAAGGTAATCATCGTAATCGGGTCGTATTGGTGGTAGTCAAGCCTTGATGTCAGTAATTCTGTTTGGACTTTCCAACGGCCTTGATGCACTCTAGTTCTGCACCTGTCGTCGTCATTTACAAGGCCGTGCTATTTCGCTACAAGCACGTGTTTACCAGTGTCAAACAGTCTGTTGCAAAAAGTAAAAAGAAGTAATTTCGGGATGGGCAAATCCTCAACACGACCGCAGATTTTTTCAAGCCATCTTCATCCGAATTGATTTACTTCTAAAGTAAACGCCAAATCACCCTCACTACTTCTGTTCCGATTATTCCAATGCATTTGTTTTATGCTCAATTTAATTTGAAACAGCTGTTTGTGTGTGGAACAATACTTGTTAATGAAGCCTTGATTCCAGTGATGGGGCAGACGCACCGAGGTCAATCGGTCGAGAGCACGAAGGCAGGTCAGCAAGTTCACGAGTGCGCCCAGCGACCAAACCCAGAGTGAAACAGCGATGGGGGGACGCGGATCAGAATAACTCGGTAGATGCTGCTGTGTGCTCTAAGTATTTGGACACGTAATCAGTGGCTGTTATCGTATTTATAATTGAAATCGGGAAAATCCAGATATGTAGTGAGGAATCGCAACGGTGGACGAGAAAGACAATGATGACACCAGGCCGCCCTATTTGAACTTTCACCTTCCTTAATATTTGCTAATATGTTTCCTTTTGCTGCATGCTTTGATTTCCATTATAGCGTTTGACATTGCATTCTGGCATTTACCTTAGCTGTTGCACTAATTTCGAGCAGTCTCCGTGTACTTTTTCCACCTAATTGAAAGTTTCCTCATGGTGCATTCACTAATTCCTGCCTCATATATTCACTTCAAGTACAAATTGTAAGCGGTAAGCGCGGACAAAAGTTGGGAACAGCTTAATCGTCAGGTGGCCGCGACGAAAGCAGTCCACAACTGGGGAGCTTACGTTGTCTCATTTCACCGATCGAAGCAAAAACGACACGGAAGTCTCTGGCCAATGAATTACATGTGCGTATTTTTAAATGACTTTAGGCGACATGATTCTCAAGCTCTTGGAGGCTATTTCTGGAGAGAAGAGCGGCGTAACAGACATTCGCTTGGCCAATCAACGTCAGAGGGTTCTTGGGGTGCAGCTTGAGCAGGAGATCACCAAAGTTGTTCTCCAGAATCCCCGTCTGAACAACCTCGGCCTTGACTTCGACACCCCGCAAGCCCGGGTTCAAATCCGCGAGCACCTGAAAACGACTGTGGACGCGAACAAACGACTCGCGCGCATCAACAAAGGCGCGTAGCCCACAATTCCTGCCTCGTTGTGCGGACTTCTTCGTCGCATTGTGCAATGGTGCTCCTCCGCCCAGCCTTAGATACCGCTTCCGCATTCGTTTTGTCTTTTGTTATTCTTTCGGCCTCGGCGTTTTAGCCTCGTCTGCATGCTCGCCTTTTCGTCAAACTGTTAATACTAGTATCCATTGCCGCCTTTGTGCATTACTGCTAATATTAAATCATCACTATGGGACCTGCCACACCACTTGTTCTTTTTGTATTTTGTTTCACAATGCTTTCTCTGCTCCAAAAATTGCCATGATTGCCGCCTCACAAGTTTGCCGGTTTTTGTTAGTCCCAGACATGGGCGATTGCAATTAACGAATGGTGATGCACGAGTGGGGTACAGTGTGCCTCAGAAAGCCTTTTTTAGGTTGGGTTTTTGTGCACCGCTGGCATGTGTAGTGAAATAACCTTTCACGTTTACCAATCCCTTTCTTGTTTGGAATCGCGACAATTTAATTAAGGCGAGGCAGCAGAAAGTATGAGGAAATCCAGGCGTGACACCGTGCTTTCGGCATTTTTTTTCTGCGCTGGAGCCTAAGCAGGCATTTCGTGAAGGCCCCATTTCTACGCGTCACGTGCCTTCACACGGAAAGCATTTCGAACATCACTCCCGTGTGTAGTAATGCAAAACATGGTAGGTTGGTGTCACGCGATAACCATCAGTCCACGCTTAGCGTATCTTTGCGATGAAATTTAGAACTTTTGGACTGATTTTTTTTACCAACGAAGAACCAATTTGACAATCGTTGATTCTTATGGAGGCGGTCTTCTTCAGCGTTGCAGCGCGCCAAGCCAGCGAACGTCTCGCAACGCCAGGGACCGTGAAACGACAGGTGTTCGAATTTGGTGCGGCCACTTCGTCTAAACGAATGACGATGTTATGCGTGGGCTTATATTTGCAACAATGGCCGATTTTAGTTAAACGACTCGATACCTCAGTCGAGCTAATGATGGGATTAGTTTTCATTGGTTATAGGACGAGGTTAGGTGTAGGGTGGCGAATAATTCTCGTTTGAGCTTATGCGCAAAATGCAGGAGTGTCAATTAAGGTGAAATACTCATGGATTGTTGCGAGCGCCTAAACTTAGGCATGTGGCCTCACTAATGCCGAATTTCTCTCTTGCGAAATCAATCTGTTATATGCTGATACTTCAAAACAGCATTTCTTTCTTCAAACCTCGATCCGTTATCGTCAATTAACCCTTCGCCACATTGAGGACGTCTGAATTCGGGTTTTTTTTATTCTCCAATTGGCGTGAATCCTGATGAATTCACGAATATTTTTGGAACTCCTCAATACCAAATTTCGTGCCTTCTTTTGACGGCAAAACGCCGTACGTAGATTTGGCATAACCATGCCGCATTATAGGAACCCCCATTACTCCTCTCAAATCACCTAGAGTTTAATTTCATCCAGACGATGGACAGGAACGTTAGCATTTTGGATTTCGAATGGTTTGCATTTACTTCAATCGCTTTTTAGGAACCTACATAACAAACAACCAAGGCAACCAACGCTATCGTATGACACCGATTCACCCCAACAAGCATTCCTGACTTCGTTTTTTGTTTATGGTAATTCAGTACCGAATTTAGGCGGTCTCTGGCTTAGTAGGTAGACCTTTAGGCCTTCGTTTTTATTAACGAATTACGGACAATGTTGCACTTTATTCGCCAGAACCATTTTGACACTGCGTGCTGTTATTTGTGACAAAACGCCCCAATGGTTGAACAACTTAGGTACTTTGAGGCCATCTGCTGCTAGCGTCTACTGCTTAGCATGTTAATGCGTATTCTTTTTGATCGACTCGTGCCTTGTTTCTTCGTTATTTACATCAAACGTGCTCCACCACAGTTGATCTTCGGCCCCAAACGCCTTGTCCGCATGCTGCCCATTTATTTGCTTCACCAAAATATCCGACTGTACGACTAGAATCACTCGTTGCTGCAGAGACGAATCCACGCCTAACATCGTCGCGCGTTTTGACGAAGTGGCGGTTCCGATGTTCGTGGCGAGGCCCCCGCACCTGCTGCCTCCTGGAGACCCGACCGGTGTGTTTCGTGTGACCGGCTCGGTCGCGGTTGCGCGCGTCGCTGTTGCCGGCTGTTGCTTACTCCACGTCGTAATGTGCTTCTATTAGGCCAAGCACCTAGGGGCTGCTTTTAATAAACTCGAAAAACGTTACACAGCCAGATTAATAGCATTTACTCCTGTTACGAATATTGAACAGCTGCGGACATGAACTAACTGGGTGTCTTTTATCATGTCCTTCTGACATCTTGTAGTTCAGCCTCTGCATCACTGCTTATGGTTGATGTCGTCGGGGTCACCAATTTGTAGAGGTCGAGTTTAGCACTACCACAAAACCCTATAGATAACAGACGTCACAACCCGAGAAGGGAGAAGACAGTCGACTGAGAACACGACCGTTTATTCGCGTTACGACAGACCAGACAAGTCGAGTCGCGTAAAACCGAGTAACTAAATTCTGTGTGCATATCGATACGCGTGCGTAAAAGACGACTACTAACAAGAGCCAATAACAAAGAGGGCGAGTCATTGATACAGTCGGGCAGGCATACACGCAGCACTCACGGGCGGTGACTTTCTGTCCTCAACAGTGCATTCACGAAAAAATCGATTGATTTGTGCTCGCTCACGCTTGCAAACTGCGTTCGCTCACGAATGCTGACTGTGCTGCCTTGCTGGTCGCCACAATGTCCCAGCAACAACTGGTCGACTGCGCCATTTTCCTCACATAACGTTTTCGACTCGGCGTAGTTAGTTGATGGGGTTGCCATTTCATCTGTCTGCATTCGTGAAGTGGGGATGCGGGCAGCTTTGCCCTCCTGTCTCTGCTTGAGCTGCCGTCTCCCTTGATGCCGTTTTCTGTGCTCCTCTTTTGACTTAATCGACACGACACGATGTGGGCATCGCACGCAAGTTGTTTACCGGATGGAGGTCGAGTTTTTCCGCAATGCGTGTGCGTGTGTGCACACGTGCGCGTGCATTTACGCTGCTGTGCGCAATTTCAATTAACCGCACGTCCGATTGCGCCTGCACCCGCGGACCTGCGTGTTCGCATGCCGAATGTGCGCTCAGAAAAAACGGGCCTCGTTGATTGCAAATAAGCCATTGGTTAATCGACCGCTACCTTTGTTGGTTGCTCTTGCAGTGGCTGAAGTCTTATGTCGGCTGGGCGCTGTACCAGCCTACGGCACTGCACTAACGCCTCCAAGTGGATGCCTCAGCACTTATAACTTTGGCTCGGCCTTGCTGTGTTACGTTTTGGATGAACCGTTTGGACACCAGCTCGCTTCGGTTGGTAGGGTCCCGAGTGGTTGACTACTGAGCTCGAACACACGCCTTTTTAATGTCTTAATTGGTCGAGCGATTCCATTCATCACCTGTAAAACCCGCCGTCATGTTGTCTAGACCATACAAGACTTGACTGACAATTGCAATCGCGGCAGTAAATCAACAGATTTTGTCCGAATTCAGTGGCAAATGGAAGCTATCAGTGGATGTTATTTGATGCCGGATGGCTAGAGAAGCATCAATTTCGAAACGACCAAATTCTAGCGAGCTGTAACGAATATTCTATCTGCTTTATTTAATAAGTCATTTGAGGCCTGTTTTGGTAAGTCGGTGCAGAGAATTCCATTCACATAAACGCAGTGGCTTTGTACAGGCCTCGGCCGTTCGTGAGGTTTATTGTGCCTGTGTGACGCCAACGCACCGTCTGTTCGCGCCCTTCACGTAGGTGAATCCTCGGCTGTCCGACTTGTATTCCGCCACCTGTCACTAAAATTACTATTTTTGAAACAGATGGTTGAGTTTTCCTGAAGGCCATCGCATTTTTCCATTTAACCAGCTCACGAAAAATGAACATCTCGTGCGTTGCGACTCACACAGGCGAGCATGGGATTATTAAAAAACAAAGAAGAAGGATAAACTTCCTCAATTCAGTTGATTTCAGGGCAGTAGATACGCACGTATGCATTTAATTAGGCGTGTTAACGTTGATTATCACAATCTAATCATGCCTTTGGTAATGAAGAAGCCTGGTTTTGAACCTGCAAATATTGTACATAACTAATGCTGTCTATATATACGCAAGCAAGACGCCTAAGATTATGTTGTGGAGGAAAAGAGAGGAAAGGGAATAGCGAGATGACAACAATTTCGCAAAATTTCAGAAGGGGCGGCTAGATACGGGGGGGGTTGGGGGCAAGAGGACAACGATTATGAATTGCTACTCCGATTTCGAGGCAGCGGAATGTGCTCTATGGCCAAATGCTGGGTTTAAGCAGTGCGCTATCTTCTCATTGTTTCTGATTGGCTTTGATTTGATTCATGCGCAGCACATGTGTGTAGGATGGAGCACTTCGTGTCTGGTTTCAGCAGGCACACCCGCTGCTTTGACCCTCTGCACGATCTGTCAGGCGTTTGCCTAAACGAAGAAATAAGCCTACTTAATGAATTATAGTAGGCCGTAGTGATTAGCAGATCATGAAGGCGAGTTCGCACACGTGCACGTTACGGCATGTTCCCATTTCAGCAACAGAATGGAAAACAATTAAACACTCCAACAGAGTCCTTGGATTATTTGCACGCAGAAGTTATACTTCAGTAAAGTAACCAAGTTCTCAATACTTGCCTAGCTTAGCTGTTTTGTTAGACCACGATGTTATTTTTAACTTCGGGTGGACAATTTACCTCCAAAACAAGTAGCCTCAGTGAATCTGGGAATTCGGTGACATGTGGGACATGGGTTCATGCGCTAGCCCGGGGCTTTGTGGAAATCAGTTCAAGCCTTCAAAAAGTGACACCCAGAACTCTTCGCAAACTCCTTGTGTAAATTTTGCCTTGCTGTACAGATCCGCTCTTTCAACTGGACGGGAAAAGGCGGTAATTCGATACTACTGATGAAATCGAATATGCAACAATAACACATCTTAA